CGATCAAAGCAAGCTGAGAAGGGAAGACGAAAGGCAGGAAGGTGGAAACCTTCCACACCAGTGCAAGGCTAGTTTACCTTTGGCAAATGAGAGTGTGTTCATATTTCCACAAGAACATGTCCATTTCACCAGCTTATGACTCCAACTGGGCTGGGCAAACACGCTGGGATATGGTCACAGCTGTCATTCAGAGGGAAAGCTCAGAAATGGGGAACAGAAACCAACCATGGGGATCCCTTGTGGCCCACCCTTAGCTTTGGGAGGCAGAGCGGCTTCGGGCTGTGGCTGGCTCCCTCGGAAGCTCTGTGTGGCTTTCTGCTGCCTTGCTCTGCGTGGGGCTCCACCGTGAGAGACACAGGGACCAGTGCCAGACCCACCAGACTTGGTGCGAACCGCGGAGCCACCCTGCACATCTCCGGACTGGTCTCCTGATCTAGAAAAAGTTCATGGGGTGGGCAAGGATGACAGGTGCCAGGCCTACAGCCCAGGGGCTGGGACGGGTTTGCCCTCCACAGTGATAGCTTGTGTTATTCCAGAGACTGTCTTTCTGAATTGTTTGCTTGGTGATTGAAACTTTGTTTCTTTTTAATAAAATCTTGATTTTAAAAATGCCTGAAGGTGCCTCTATTTTCTTTATTCAGCGGAACAGGGTGTGTGGTGAAGACAATATTTAGATAGTCAGCAGAGGCGTCGTGCTGACATTCATTGCCACGTTTCTTTCTCCTCCTTTCAACTTTCCTGCAATGTAAGAAAGGTTAGTTTAGGTAAAAGGAGAGTCATGAGACTCTAACAGCATCCATAGCTCCCCTATCACAGAACTGAAGAGTAAGATGAACATGGGCTAGATTTGAACTTTGGCCGGGCTCAGTAGAATCGAAGCTGGGACAGAAAAGAAAGGGTGACTCCTCCCTGGGGCTTCCCGGAGCTGCGGATCAGTAGGGGACCTGGTGGGACTGCAGGGAGGGGTCACCTGTGGACCTGCTGCCCCGCGGGAGGAGCAGAGGTCCATAACCCTGGGGGACCCTCAGGCTCAGCGAGGTCACTCTCATGAGCCCTGAGGGGACTGACCCTGGGATCCCTCATGAGGAGGAATTGAGGCCACCAGGCCTGGAAGTTCAGAGACCACAGTGAGCCTCATTCCCCAAAGAAGCAGAGGCGGGTCCTGTAGGCTCTCAGCAGCGGCAGAATGTTTGCTGATTGGGACAGAAATGAGCAGCGACTTGTACTGAATGAGGGGGACAGTGATGTCGCTCTGATAAACGCCCTTGCAGCCAGACCAGACTGACATGGTCGCTTCATCTTGATCCAAAACCCTCAGCGCCAGCTCTGTCCACGTAGTGACCCCAACGGGCACGTACTCGCCCGGCTGCCAAGGTGGACGGAGCGTGCAGGTTCGGGCGAGATGCCCCCTCCCCTGGAATGATGGGCTTTCTCAAGGGAGCCGGGGCCAGGTGGGAGGTCCACGCAAGGTGCAGCATCAGCAACGCTCCTTCCCGCCCTCAGCTGCCTGGGTGCTGGGCCCACACGCCCACCGCCACCCCCGTTAGACGGAGCCCGTTCCACAGAGCCCAGGCCTTCCTCCTGGCACCGTGCCCCTTTCAACAAGGCTCCTCTCAGGCAGAATGCAGTGGAGACAGGCCCTGGACACGAGGGCTCTCGGCCTTGGGCCATGAATGTGGCTTGTTTGGGGGGGAGTCTTTGTCTTTCCCACTATGAAATGCGATAATAATACCAGTCTCATTCAAGCGTTCATTCATCTAATATGTAGTAAGCTCCTGTCACAGGACAACATTATTCTAGGTACTTGTGCGATGGAAATAAAAACACACAAAACCTGACGAGGCCCCATCCCCACCCTCACAGGTCTAATGGGCTTGAGAGACAGAAGTAAACGAGATGATTTAATGTACGCTGACTGGTCAGGGGTGGTGACGGCCAAAGATATTGTCTCGGGTAACTGCACGTGCCTGTGGGAAACTGAGGGTCCCAACTGGCTTTCTGGGTCCAGAGACACCCGCGGGCGGGAGGAAGACTGGTGAGCCCTGGAGGTGGCTGTTCTGGAGGCTGGGCCAGCAGCAGAACCTGGTTTCAGTTCAAATGGAGGGTAATGTGAGCGTCTGTAAGGAGGCTGAGTTTCCAAAAGAGCAAGAGTTTCAGGTTGGAACTCCGCTCTCTCCTCAAAGCTGGGAACCTGGTCCGTTCCCAGGGAGCTGTGGGGAGGGCTGTGGTGGGTGTCCGTGTACAGGTATGGAGGTGACATGGGCAAGCAGGGTGAGAGGTCAACAGCCCAGAGGCTGCGGGAGACTCTGATTGGAGGAAGGGGGGCGACCTCACTTCCTCGGTGATACCCTAACAGAAGCTAGAACTCTGGTAACCAGGGACCCCTCGCCAGGTCAGTTGACTGCAAACGGTCAAGAGGACAGGATGTATCGTTGCTGTTTCCCGACTCCCCGAAGCCCTGGGCTGAGGAAAGCCCAGAGTGCGGGGTGTTTCGGTCGCTGTAGACATTGGCGCAAACCTCGCCGTGGACGATTCTGGCCATTTGGCACGAGGCGCCCTCAGGTAACAGGGCAGCCCAGGGCCGGCTAATCCAGGCCAGACCCCAACTGTGACCCTCCCTGGGCAGCCCCACGCCCCACTCCCCTCATCCTGGTGTGTGTGTGGCGGGTGGAGAAGAAAAGTGTGGGATGAGGGGCACTCGTCCTGGGCAGGAGCAGGTCGTTAGGTGTCAGAAGTCGGGAGGGTCTGTCATGTTCATTGCCCAGGTCACGGCTGGCAGGAAGGGAAGATGGGTGCTGGGACCAAGTCCAACAACCCACTTGCTACTCAGGAGTCCTCAAGGTGTCATCGTGTTCCCTCCCTGCCTGGAGGTCTTTGCAGAAGCCCCTCTGTGCCTGATCCGGGGGGCAGAATTTGTGGTGGGCATCTCCCCCGTGAGAATGGCCAGGCAGGCCCCTGACGCCTCCTGCCGGGAACCGGGCTGTGTCTTTGCAGAGGCCCGCCCCAGAGAGCGTGGAGGAGCCCACGGATGGGTTCACTTACACCATCAACTGCTACAAGGGACAAGGGTACCAGGCCAGGATCACCGTCCAGTGCCGGTCTGAGGTGAGAGCTGGCTCAGAGGGTTCTCCACACCCATGAGCTTGACACGACTGGGGTGGCCCAGAACCCAGACCCAAATCTGGGGACTCCCCCGGGGGCCTCCAAGGCTTTCCCCCTGGGGTGTGCACAGCCCAGCGCACAGAGGGACCTGGACCTCCACTACCCCGCCAGCCCTCTGGGAGGGTCAGGAGCCGCCCCACACTGGTAGGAAGCGCAGAGGGAGCCCGTGTTTCTCTGCCCCGAGACCACGAGCACGGTCCCGTTCGCTGTTTTGTTGTTGAACTGCCCGCCCCAGGTGTCCCTGCAGACCTGCTCCAAGTCTCCACATCAGCACACGTATCACATGGTCTGTACACAGAAGGGGGAGGACAAGGTTAAGCTATTCCGTCCATTTCTCTGCTACTTGTCATCGCAGACACCTGGGGCCCTGCCCCGTCAGGAGCTGTGGCTTCTCTCGTGTCCATAATATCCCATAAGGCAGGGGTCGGCCACAGCGATGCCCTTGCAGTGCCGCTGGACCTTGACTGTGGTGCAGTCCAGGGGCCGTGTCAGCAGTGCGGCCGGGAGCACTGAGCGCCTGTGGGAGTTTGCTCGGGCTGCCGTGACGTGGGCCCGCACTGGCTGTGTGAACACAGAGGGTAGAAGGGGGAGGGGAGGGTGTCAGCAGGCTCCTTTCTCCCGAGGGCTGTCTCCTCAGCTCGTAGCTGGCGGCCGTCTTCTCTCTGTGTCACATGGACTCCCCTCTGCGCGTCCATGTGTCCTCCTTTGCTCCTCAAAGGACACCAGTCCTATTGGGGGACCCACCCCACTGAACTCACTTAAACTTAACTACTTCCTTAAAGACCATGAGCCCAAATACAGGCATGTTCTGAAGTTCTGAGGGTTACAAAGTCATGAAATTCGGGTGACACAATTCAGCCCCCAACATATACTGTCCCCAGGTGGGGATACCTGCCCAGGGACAAGACAGCTCTTGGCAGGACGTGCACATGTCTGTCCTCACAGCTGCAGGCGGATCCACATCCAGAGGCTGTGGCAGTGAGGTCGCCAACAGCACTTTCTGGTGGTGGCTGCTGCCTTGCTCCTGCCCGGCCCAGGGATTTCTCACTCATTGAAATGTTTACCAATCTGACGTCAAGCTGCCCAAGGCAATCAGTGTTCCTTGATTGGCGATTGCCTCTGGGGTACCTGGACTCACCTGCCAGCTTTTCACCAGCCACGTGGATTTGCTCTTTCCTGCGTCATCTGCTCAGATCCGGCCTGGAGTCTCCAGGCATTGGCGTGGAATCTAGGATCTCTATAATGAGAGTCTCAAAATGCCCTTTAATGTAAAAGGAGGAGAAATAAGTGTCTTTTTTGAAGTCAGTGGCTTTCTAGGTGTGTGTATCTTGTACACTCTCTCTAAACCATGGAGCAACAAGGTTCCCAGACAAGGTCCATGTCGGGACAGATGAGTCTCAGGTAGCTGAGAGGGAGCATCATGCAGGACAGTTCTCAGTTCTGACCTGTATGACCTTGAGCAGCCATCTGACATCCTAAGCCTCTGGGTTCACATCTCCATGGTGGGGATGTCTGCTGAGGACTCATGGAGACAATGTCCTTTACACAGACTATTAATACAAGAGGTCTGATGTTCTGCAGCTAAAAACATGCCTGGGTCACAATTGTATAAGCATCCGCCACCCAGCAAATTTACATGGTGCTTTAAAACCTAGAACCTCACTGGGCATGGGCACCCCTGTCCCTCCTCTCACACATGTCCTGAGGGCTGGCAGTTCTTGGGTGAGCTCCAGACCTCCATCCTCCTGGGTTCATGGTGATGCCACTGACCTGATGTCCCTCCTTGTCCCACCCAGTGTGCAGCCGAGTTAACTCTTGACCTCCGTGAGGCCTGCAGGATGCGTGCCCTCCAGGAAGGCACACTGGAGAAGATGGTGGCGTCCATGGTACCACCTTTCCCGAGTGGAAAAATTCCCCACATCCCCACCTTAATGTCTACCCACCAGGCCTTCTCCAGAGCCCAGCTGTTCCTGGACCAGCTGTTAACTAGGTGAGCGCACGCCCCCTAGTGCTGATTTGGCCCCCTGCTAGCCCTGTGTCCTGAAAATGTCACCACATCTCTCTGAGCCTCAGTTTGCTCCTCTGAAAAGTGGGTGATAGAGGATAAACCTCATGAGGTTCTTGCAGGGACTACTGTGGGGACAAGCCATGGCAGGTCTGACCTGCTGCCTGGTTCTGCAGAAAGGGCTGCTGGGCGTGTGCGGCCGTTCTCGGCACTTATTTCTCTCTCCCCGTGAGAAGTCCCCTGACACATCCAGCGGTGGCCTGTGGCAACTGAGTTTGGAAAAGCACATGGGAAAATGTCTGTCAAGCAGTTTGAGATTCCACCTGGCTGGTCCTTGGTGTGGCCAGATTAGGGATGTCTGGGGACAGCATCCCCAGGCCCACTAAGAGGTCTGGATGGTTCTGGTTGGAGTTCACTGACTGGACAATGTGCATTGAGCTCCTACTGCCAGCAGGCACTTTGGAGACACTTTGCCTGACTCAGGGAACAAAGTAGACACAGTGCCTGTTCCTCAGTTCTAGTCAGCATGTCAGACTGTGACACTAGATGTCATTCTCAGGTGCTGCCCACCTTCCATCAGATCTGATGCCATCCAGGTGTTCTCTACATCTGGAAATATGCAGCCATATAACGACCAGAGTGACACACCCCAGGACCAATTGAAAAAGTGAGTGGTCTTTGGGTCCAGAAAGAGGCCTCCTGTGTCAACAGGATGAGGGGCTGCAGGTGGACAGGGGCTGGCAGAACCCTGATCTTACACGTCTGCTGATTCCCAAGGGAGGACTGAGGTCTGGTGGCTTCCACTCCAGAAGAACAGGGTCAGAGAGCACTGTGGGTGGGCTCCCTGGCCTCTTATAACCAGAGGGGAGGCTGGGTGAGCTGTCCCCAGGAGTCCCATCCCCACCACAGACCATCCTGCGCTGCCTGCTTTCTCTGCACCCACTTCCCTGACCACCATCGCCAGGCCCAGAACAGGACGTGGGGAGCAGGCTGCTCACACCCTGTCTCAGTCCTCAGTCCAGGTGCCCAGTGCTCAGAGGGCTGGGTGGGCAGTGCGCAGGCCTCCAGGACAGCTCTCGGGGGAAGAGGAGACTCACACAGACTCCGTGTTAGCCTGCTGGGTCACCAGGCCTGCGACTCCCAGGACAGCCCCAGGGGCAGGGGATGGCATGGGGCTGACCCCTGGATGGGCCGGGCAGGCATACGGGCCCCGTCTGAAGCAGGGTGCCATGAGAGGGCCGTGCGGGAGGAAAGACCAGGACTCTGACCCCGCTGCCCTCCTGCCTCCCCCAGGGCCGTAGCTTCTGTGATGGGAGCCTGGCCGGACCAGATACAATATGTCGGCCAGCCCCTGCTTCTCCCCTGGTTCACCCTGAAGCAGGCCCTCGTGCAGGGCCACCTCCCTGCCTCATACCCGCTGGGCCATGTGCTCAGCCTCTGGGTGGAGCTGGAGCATCTGGAGCCCACGGAGGCAGAGCTGGAAGGTGAGGGGCCTGCAGTCTGGGAAGACGGGCGGGGTGGGTGGGCTCAGGGGCCGCAGTTCCCCTGGGGGCAGTGGCATCTTTCCGTCTCTGGGGGGGCACGGGAAAGCCAGGCCTGCGTGTGAACTGTCTCTTCAGCTGCTCCAGAGGCTCCCCCAGAGCCCCAGCGCGCTCCAGAGCCCGAGGAGGGGCCTGCCCAGGGGCCCGTGCCCGGTCCCGCTGTGCCAGTGCTGGAGCCAGTGTCACCTCCCTCAGCCCCTGGGGGCCTGGGGCCAGCACCCGCCTCACCCTCCGCCCCAGGGCCGGCTCTCCAGCAGGAGCCACCTGGACCACCAGCTCTGATCCGAATGCCAACAGCAGAACCAGCTCCATGCCCAGCAGCGGACCACCCCCCGGCTGGGACCACTAAGCACCTGATAAAGGAGGAGAAGCGTCACATCCTGAGCTTCCCTCCAAGACTGGTGGCAGAGCAGCTGACAGTGATGGACGCGGTGAGCAGTGGGGCTCTGGGGAGAGGGGGGGACAGGCCTTCCCTCTGCCCTCAGCTGCCCCGACCTGCCTTTTCTGATCTGAACTCCCGTGATCTGGATCAAATTGCACCTCCCCCACTGACGAACCATGTGTCCAGGGCAACTTTCTCAACCCCCAAGCCTCGCTGCCCACCTGTGGACAGTGGGGGTGGACACGTGCAGCACCAGTTGCTCAGAGTGGCTGCAGATTCCAGGAGGCAGATCAGACAGAAAGCTGGGCGGGTCCTGGTCCGGTAGGTGGGAGGGGAGCTCACTGCGTGCAGCCAGGGCTGTGGGGCTCCCAGCCATGTGCCCATGAGGCTCAGCGGCCTCCACACTGATTAGGCCCTGATGTGTACTTTCCTACAAGGGAGACAAACATAGAGCCCATGGCTGTAGCTGCCACAGGGCATGTGCCCTGAATGGGGATTTGGACCAGAGGGGTAATCAGGATGCTGGAAGATGCCCTCTTGTGGTGAGTGGACTTGAGCCGCATCCTCGAATTTGGAGTCAGTGGGGATGGGCTGGAGGCAGATGCTCCTGTCCCTTCCCCACCTGTCCTGGGCTCTGGGTCATCCAGTGCTGGGTCCCTTGGTGGACAGAGATTGAATCCCAGGGACTCCAAGGCTCAGGCCACATCCTCAGCTTCTTGAGCTTCAGTCTTTCCCAGTGACCCCTGCAGGGGGTTGGGGACACTGAGCTGGGTGTGGCAGGGTTGGGTGACCCTCCCCTTTCTCCCTAGGAGCTATTCAAGAGGGTGCTGCCCCACCAGTGCCTGGGCTCCGTCTGGTCCCAGAGAAACAAGCCTGGCAAGGGACACCTGGCCTCCACCGTCCGTGCCACCGTCACGCAGTTCAATGATGTGGCCACCTGTGTGATCACCACCTGCCTTGGGGACCCTAGCATGAGGGCCCGGGACAGGGCCAAAGTGGTGGAGCACTGGATCAAGGTGGCCAAGGTATGTTATGGGAGGCCCAGTGCAGTCCCTATGCGGAGCCTTGAGAAATGCCTCTGCTGCTCTATCAGCTCTCGGGACTGAGGCCTGAGGCCGAGCCCAGCACAGTTCCCAGGTCCTCTCTGCCAGGGGCCCGCTGACCTTGACTCTCAGGTCCCGGTGGTGGGAGGCTCACTTCCTCCCTAGCTCCTTCCTCGGGTTGAGCTAGGATCCTCCTCTCTGTGAGTGCTGGTCTTTGGGTGCTCACCATGCCCACCCTGAGCACCTGTCCCACCCAGGAGGGGTGTCAATGGAGGGGACTGAGCTAGAGCTCCAGCTGCCACCTCACAGCCGTCGCTCCCCTCCCAGGAGTGCAGAGCCCTACGGAGCTTTTCCGCCCTGCACGCCATCCTGTCCGCTCTGCAGAGCCTGTCCGTCCACCGTCTGAAGAAGACGTGGGGGAAAGTTTCCAGGTGGGTAGGCCTCTCCCCAGAAGAGGATGGGTCGGGTGTCTCTCATATGCCCTCTAATGTCCCCTCAGGAGCTGGCACCTCCTGGGAGTCAGCCACCCCTGGGGACAAGGACTGGGCTGCTGGGCGGGGTCTCTAAGCCTCCCTGGGACCTCAGGCTGCCAATTCTGCCTCAGGAATCAGTTCCCCTAAGTGCCAGAGACTGGATTGAGCCCCACTGGACATTTTCAAGTGTTTATACCACTAGAACCCTAGGCCCAGTTGAAACCAAAACTGGTCAAAACAGAGCTGCCCCATAGAAATGGGAATGGGGCCCAGGTGACCCACAGGAGAGCCCCGCCCAGGCCACGGAGACCTTCCTGCTGGGAGGAACCCAGTGAAACCCTCACCCCAGCGCCTTGAAACACTGGACTGTCAATTAGATTTTTGCCTTTAACAACTCCCCTCCCCCCGCTCATTCTTTGTAAACATGTCTCCCTCCTGCCCCGGCTCAGGAGGAGCTCGGCCACACTGAACACGCTGTGTAAGGAAGACAACTCCGGGGCCCGCGCACAGCTCAGCGAGGTAGAGCGGAGGCTGGAGGTCTGGAAGGGGCCCTGGGCTGGATGTGGCTTCGATAGTTTGTCACTTAAAGATTCTCTGCAATGTTCGCCCTCTGTCCTGAGTAAGAGGAAGAGGGCTCTGTTTGGCCCTTGGCAGGGGGCAGCTCCAGGGCAGGAGGCCCGGGCCTGGCCCACAGTGATGCTGGCTGGGCGGCTCCGGGACGGGTGCAGGGCTGGCACACTGAGCGGGTCTCTGGCTTCCATGCGGGGCCAACCCACTGGCAATTAGCTTCTTCCAGGCTGTTGGGTGAATGGGGTAGGTGGGCACCTTTCTTCCCAAACCAGCCCCGCCTGGCCTTGGAAGCCAGGCCCCTGCTGCTCCTCTGTCTTCACCACCCCTCCAAGGGGAGCGCACCCTGCCTGCCCCAGGGATGGGCACTGCAGGGGACTCCCATGGGCCAGGGGAACACAGGGCTGCTTGGCCTCAGGTCCCACTTGCTGGACTAGAGACAGAGAGGTGTGCCTTCTGTGACTTCCCACTGTGCCTCTGTGACTTCCCACTGTGCCTCTATGACTTCCCACTGTGCCCTGGAGCACTCACTGCCAGTCAGTCAGTCAGTCAGTCAGTCAGTCAGTCAGAAAGGGGCAGGGGCAGGCCCCAGGCCCAGGGGCACACACCCAGGGAGCGTTGCAGCTGGGAGCAGTCTAGAATCCAGGCTTCTGGAGTCAGAGTGGCACTGGTACCAGCTGACTTGGGCCAGCTGTCCAGGGTCTGAGGTCAGGGGTGGTGGGGGAAATGGGGTGAGGAGGCATGGCCTCATGACCCTGTCCCGGACCCTGGCAGAAGCGGCCCTCCAGGTTTGCCACTCTGCTGCGGACCCTCCGGGGAACTCGGAAGAGGCCGCACAAGAAGGTGAGTGAGCCTGTCTGGGCTCCAGGGTCAGAGGAGAGGGGCTCCGCCCTCCCAGCTGGAGGCCTCCAGGTCAGGAGAGGGAGGCCTCCCTCCTCCATCCACCTCCTGTTCCCACAGAGCCTGCAACCCTCCATTAGCAGGGACCCAGGGGGGGCCTAGAAGAGCTGGGTGCACCATGCCTGTGGGGGAGGGGCTGGGCTGGGACCACAGGCCCTGTGATTGGCCAGCAGTAGGCCCTGGAGGTGATGAGGAGGAGTTCCTGGACAGTGAGGGAAGGGGCCATTGAGGGGAGGCTCTAAGGGTCCCGGGCTGCTCCATGTGGGGTCCCTGGGGTGGGACAGGAGGCTGAGGGTGGGAAGCTTTCAGGGGATTGTCCGTGGGGCCAGCTGAGAACAGGGGCTCATCCCACCCTCACCCTGATTGCCTAGTGTGTTCCCTTCCTTGGCAAATTTCTGACTGACCTGGAGATGCTGGACACTAAGTTGGAAGATTATCTGGAGGTGAGTGTCCTGGGACCTGGGGTGGGTGACCAGGGTTGACATTTGGGGAGAGAGAGGCCCTGTACTGAGCCCCTAGTTCTCAGCACAGCTCCCCCATGGAGATGGGCCTCATGCCCTTTCTAGGGACCCATGTGCCCCTCCTCTGGAGCCCAGAGTTTGGCCTCTCCCCAAGTCCTGTCTGTTTGTGTTTCCTGCCCCCTCCTGGGACCGGGTGGTACTGCATCATGAGAAGGGGTGGGCATAGGGGCTTGTCAGGGCCAGGGGCTCTTCCTGATGGACTGGGGCTGTCTGCCTTCCAGGGGAACCAGATCAACCTAGAGAAAAAGGAGAAGGTGAGCAGCTGTGGCACCTCCTGCGGGCAGGGGAGGGCAGTGAACATCAGAGGGCCCTCCCAGCACACTCCTGAGCTCCACCCCGCATCTTACACTCACTGGGAGAGTTATGACAGCAGAGGGAGACCCTCCAGGTGGTGGCTGGGGTAGGGGGGTGGCATCAAGGAGCATTGCCTGGAGGAAGGGCTGGCGAAGCCCATCTCTGAGCACAGGTAGGGCCTCATGGAATTAGGGGGAAGGGCGGTGCCCATGTGTGCAAAGACCCAGGACCTGTCCCCACGCCACTGCTCACCCCGCTCGGCCGTGTCTGCACCCTCTCCTTCCCTCTGGCCCCAGGAACAGAGAGTCATGGAGAAGATAGTGCTGCTGCAGGAAGCTGCCAACATGTATGAAATAGAGCCCGAGGAGCAATTCAGGGCCTGGTTCTGGGCCCTGGAGCGGCTCAGCGAGAAGGAGAGGTGAGGCCGGGCAGGAGCCGGGTGAGGGCGGGGTGACTCCCCTGCGGGCCAGGCCAGAGAACCTGTGTCCATGGCTCCCAGGTCAGCCCCCGCCCTTGTTGTGTAGCAACCCCTGGGGCACCCGACCCTGGGAGAGACACCTGAGAGATGGCTCCTGGGAGCTCACAGGTGCCCCTCTGTCCTGTAGTTACATCCTGTCCTGCCAGCTGGAGCCCCGGTCCTAGTTGGCCTGCAGAACACTCCAGGCCAAGAACTGCTTTGAAGGATCTGAAGTTTATTCTGAGACTAAAGGAAGTCATTGAATGATTGACAGCAGAGGAGGAATGATTCTTAAAATGATCTCACTTTCATGGATTTGCCCTCATGGAGAACATATTTGGATACAAAAATCTTTCTTCGTAGAAACTCGTAGGTTTTAGGTAAATTTTTATTAAATAAGGACAATACAAACTATTCTTTCTAAGAGTAGCACAACAAATAGCACACATTTTGCTGGATATGTGTACATTTGCACAGAATGAGCAGAGACACCTTTAATGCTGGCTTGATTGATAAGCAGCCAGGAAGGCGATATGATAGAACTGCCTCTCTCGGGTCCTCGCTTCCGAGATGACCAAGGAATGAAGTAACAGCAGTTGTGCCAAAAAGGACCTTGGTCGTGTGTAGCCTATTCAGTGCCCCACTGCACCGATGCATGCTCAAGGACAAGGCCTTTAGGAACATTTCTGAAGTGTCTTGGATGCCTCTGTGCCCCCCAAGCTGTTTGAGAAACTCCATTACTGTGGGCGCTGTGCCACTCACAGCCAGGAGGCAGGGGAGCCGAGAACACCTGAACACCCCCCCCCGCCCCCGATTCAGACCTGCGGGTGCTGCCCGTCACCTCCACGCAAGCCCCCGGAGGATGCTAAGTCCTTACGGACTGAAGAAACGTTCTGTGGAAAACAAGTGGAAATTGTACTTAAAAATATATGATGATAGAACGGAACCACTCCATAGAAGGGGATAAAGGGAAGATAGAAGACTAAAAGAAGGAGTGGGGAAATATACACATCAGGTAAAAGACACTTGAATGGAGTTAAATGTTTAATACAATGAAAACTATAAGAACTAAAACATAATTTAGGAAGTTGTGACATTTTGTATGACATTAAAATAGATTTTTTCTTCAACTATGTTAGAACAACATTTTAAAGAAAAGGATTCCAGAATAGCAAGAAGCCAAAAAATGGACAGATGAGGTTGAGTACAGTGAAAATAGAAATAAATATAAAAAAGTCAGCAGAGAGCCAGGCAATTGAGAGTTCTAAAACTGCTGAGAAATGAATAAAGCAGAACAGACCTGTATGGAAACAAGAAAATGCATGTGGCAATGAAGGAGGGAACAAAATTGAGATATTTGGGCGTCTATTTTGTTGCATTAATGTTCTGTGATACTAGTTGAGTGTATCTACTTCTGAATCAACACAACACAAGTTGACTGCCAAGCATGGGCTTTATTTTTACA